AATTAATCTTTAATTTTATAATACAATTCCTTTGCTTCAGCATGTCCCTTTTCAGCAGCCTGTAGCAACCGTTCATTAAATTGTTTAGCATATTCTAAGTTTGGGGTGCTTCTCCTTTTGCAATTCCTTGTTTATTAATACACAAGAGACTTAAAAAATATTTCACTTTTGGATATGACCCCAAATCGGCTAGTTTTAGGAGAATTGGAAATATTTCATCATCATATTTTTTTTTTGTTTTGTCTATATTTTTCAATGCAAATATTAAGAATAGAGTTCAGCTGATCAGTGGTGCTCACATTAACAAGTTCAGGGGAATTAGAGACACGCGTAAAGTAATCTTCCATTTTTTATCTTCCTTGTAAAAAAAACTTGAATTTCTTTTTCTTTAGAGTTTTCTTTATATATGCTTTCGAATTCATACAGGCTAATACAATATCATTCTAATTAAATTTTGTCAATTGTTTAATCTTTTTTTTCAGGTGCAATTGGACAAATTTTTTATAAACATTGTATTGTTTGATAATTGTTTAATTAATTATTATTACTTAAGAATTTAAAAAGAAATCAGTTTCTAAATTGAAATGCAGTACTTTAAAGTCAATCTTATTTGATTTAGCGGATCCAACTATTAACAATTGTCGAGTTATTAAATTTTAAATAGAAATGCAGTACCTTAAAGTCAATCTTATTTGATTTAGCGGATCCAACTATTAACAACTGTCGAGTTATTAAATTTTAAATAGGAAAATAGTCTATTTTTTACTGTAAGCCTTTAAAAAAATCTTTTTGAAAATTTATCATTATCAATTAAAGTTTAAGCCGTTGACAATAAAGTTTTCATGTTTTTGAAGCCGCATAATCTGGATTTAATTATCGACCCTTTAATCTTATCGCTATTGTTACCTTCGTTAACCAATTTATTTGAAATTTCCTTATCAGCATAAATTATAAAATATTGATTATAGTTGATGTGCCTTTGATCAAATTTGTAGATCACTGCATAGAGGAGATAATAATCTTTTAATTTATTTAATTCAAAATACAACATTTTGTTATTCTTTTAGATTCCGCAATATACTCTTTTTTTAGATGATCAATTATATCATATCCATATATATGAGTCATGTTGATAAATTTCTGAGATTGATTACTAAACTTTTTCAAATCATCAATACCATCTTCATTCATTAATGATTTTGAAACGATTAGCCACTTGTTAAGTTCATCATTTGAAGTTTTTTTAAAGGTTTCTGATGTATCATACAAGTTCGTGTAATCTTCGACATTAGAAATTTGTTCACTCCAGATAATAATATTACGAAAGAACTCCTTTTTTTCTCCGAAAGAAACTTTGATAGTAGAATACTTGGTATTACGATATTTCAAGTCTGATACATCAAAGTTATTTTTCTGCAATAAATTTATTATTGATGAATAGAAATCATTATTTTTTTTATTATTTTTGGACATTGTAAATTATTTTAATTTAAGTATATAAGAGAGTTCAAAATTAGATAGGTTAGAAGAAATCCTTTACTTTTATATACTACTTTAAAAAAAAAATTTAATACCAGTATAAATAAGTATAAAAAGATCCTGCGTATTATTGATTACTTTTTAATTGAAGACATAAAGTTCAATTGATTAATACAATGCAAACATAAACCCATGTTAAATTAAATATTTGAACCCAAACCAAATGCATAATCATACTTAGTAACGAGAAATTTAGCTTCCACAAATTCAATCTACAAATACGCATTTCTTCCATTGTTATCATGATATTAATGATAATTTAGGATTGGCTTAACTCAAGTATCACACTGGTTTTCAACATCATTGTGCATTTAATGTTAGAATTTATTATAATACAATCAATTGCAAAGACCTTTGCAGAAGAAAAGTTACAGCAAAATTAAATCTTTACAGTGAGAAAAAAATAGACCGTTTTGTTAATGTACCAATAATAAAAATATATATATGATTACAATTTAAAATAGTAGCAAAAGAATGGTTAAAAAGAACCCCACAGTAAAATTAAATCTTAAACCAGAAAAAATAGTTCACTACTCCATAAAATTAATGGGCACATAATTAGTGTAAAGTGATTTCGCTATTAAAGAACCGTATTCGAATCTAAATATAATTTTTGCAATGTAGTGTTTTTCTTTAACATGATACCTATTTTTTCACACTGTTCATTCTTTATAGATGTTGAACTGAGATTTAATTCTGTTAAAGTTACGTTATTGCAGAGAACGTCCATTATGTCATTCACTCCACCGAAAAAATAATTTGATGAAATGTCTATTTTTTTCAAAGACTTTGAAATAATTTTGGCTATTAATATTGTACTAACCGAATCCAAGCAATTGTTTTTGATATCTAGAGATTCCAACTCTGATTGGCATAAACCATCACATAAAATGCTAAGACCATCGGAGAAAATTTTATTATTTGATAAATTTAAAGTTTTCAATGTGAAATTGGAATTGAGTACCCGGCTAAATTCTTTTAGGGATTTTACATTAAATCTGTTAGAATTGTCGACTATTGATTCAAGTCCAAGTGAAGTTAGCATGGTGTTTTTATTTAACATCTTTGAAATTTTCTTTAAACCCTTGGAGCCAATAACATTATAACCTAAATCTAATCTTTTTATCGTGTCACATGCTAATACTTTATCAAACAATGGTTTGGTTAAAACGTCCAAGATTTCAATCTTTGGGCATAGACGTATAAACATCAGGCACATGACTGCAAAGATTTTGCACTTATAATTTTTAATATAATTTTTAAAAACATAACCATGATTCAATTCCATCTAATAATTTTGGGTCATATCTAAAATTAGTGACCCAATATAAATTTAAATGCCTTAATGCTAAATATTTGGTAATTTTCTTTTTTTTTTATCGAATTTTTTATCGGCTGATAAAATGATGATCACTGATCGTCAAAGACTTGCGGTGCCCGGAATTTTGGGTCAGATTCATTGGAACTGAATGACACTATATAGCAGTCAGACATTGACTTAATCAATAGGTTTTTAGGCTCAGTCACTGAAATTCAAACCAATATTCAGATTGCAAGTACTATCGACTTCTTTCCATTTTCTTATACCAGGAATGGATTGCAATGAAGAATATGGTTTTTCGTGACTGAAATGGTGTCTGCATAGATTTCTCCCGTTCCTGGTTTTGCGCAACTGCGTTGCGCAGCTACTTATTAGTTAGATTAATTAAGTACTGTAATCTAACGCTAATACATAAATTGTCACGGCAGATCTCCAATTTTGATTGGCTAAAAGTGACGATCAAAAAATTTGGCCGGAATTACTCAAAATTTTACTAATGAAATTAGGGTTGTTAAAACTTACCTGAAATTTAGGCCAAATTTCATAATTTCATCTCAAGGAGTTATATAACTTACATAATTTCATCTTAAGGAGATATATAACTTACATAAGTTACAATAAAATTTACATCAGTAAATTACATGTAGGGTTGTAAGTTACATGTATTTTACCTAGTGCTCCAAATCGGGTCGGGTCAGGTTCGGGTTAGAAAAATCTGATCCGAAAATTTCGGGTCGGGTTCGGATCGGTTTCGGGTTGAACATTAACCTGAACCGAACCCGACCCGACCCGAAATTATCCAAATTAGAGATGCTTGAAATAAGCATTTAATATGTTTTTTGGGGTTCTAATAGCAAGTACATATGTTTATAATAGCAACTACATAAGTATTCTTAAATAATAGTTTAAATAAAACCACCAATCAGATTTCTTTAAACAAAATTGTCACGGCAGATCCTCGATTTTTATTGGTTAACGGCCCTGAATTCATTTTTTAAAACATCCAAATATATTAGCCTTAAAATTTCGGGTCGGGTTCGGGTTGGCTCATAACCCGACCCGAACCGACCCGTTCGGAGCACTAATTTTACCAATGTAAGTTTTATTGTAACTTACGTGAATTACTTGTAAGTTATCAACATATGTTTGCGTCATATATCAGG